CCTGGGCTGTCCCGCTGCCCGCGTCCTCCGCGACTTTGCTCCGCGTCTCCCTGGTCTGACCAGCAGACCAGGGAGACGGGGAGCAGCTTTTCTCACCCCGGAGGACGCGGGCAGCGGGACCACGGCTCATCTGGGCATCCCGCCGCTCCCGTCCTCCGGGGCGAAAAAAGCCCCGTTCGTAACTGCGAATCCGATGTAAGTCAGATCTGCGTAACTCGGGGACTGCCTGTATGCCTAATGAATTTCCTGCTTTTCTTGGTTAAAGAATAAGCATGAAAAGTTCAGGAACAACATTAACTGGAAATAAGGACTGAAAATGTGTCCCCTGTAGATTTGCCATACTGATAGTATAATATGTATCAGATGTTTAAAAAAGGGGAGACTTGATACCCTACTCACTGTTTCTTTGTACTTGTACTCCACTGATCATTTAAAAAACACTAAATTCTCATCTTAAACACATTGTGGGCACTCAGTCCACCTTCATGCGTTTTCTGCTGTGATCTATCCTGAAGTGATATAGGAAGACATTAGATCAAGTTTTCTTTATTTTTAAACCAAAACAATGATTGGAAATGGGTTGGGGAAAAAAGTCATTTGGCAAATTCAGTTTTGAACTGTTTAACTGGACACGTATCTGACAGAATTAAAACCAGCAATGTATTATAAAACTGACCCACTTACAGTACTTAGGTATGAAAGGAATACTTTGAGTTCTTAAAGTCACTTTTTTTTAAAAAGTCATATTTGTTAAGCCATTAAATCTGCTCAATTTTTGTATTTCCGTTGAGTTTAGAGTAAAAACAAATATTGACTGGATAGATTGATTACCAGAAAGCCTCTGTTTGCCAGGAGTTGAAAGTGGATGTTGGGATGGATCACTTGATTGCTGCTTGTTCTGTTCATTCCCTCTGAAGCACTTAGCATTGGCTTCTGTCAAAAGACGGGGTACTGAGCTAGATGGATCTTTGGTCTAACCCGCTATGGTCATTCTCAGGGCTTGACAAATCCGCTTATCTACTCGCCCGTGGCAAGTAGATTTCAGCCGGTCGCCCCGTTCACCAGCGGTTCGCACATGCACAGTGTGGGGCTGGCGAGTGGTTTTCACCGCGATCGTTGAGCCCTGGTCCTTCTTATATAACAATTATAAAGGTTTTCACTTTTAAAGCATTATTCACATCCACCTGGAAAGTGTTATAAAACATCTTATGCATGGATTCTATTGTAGACATGGGTAGTTTACTTCAAATTCCCTTACGCAAAGTTACTGAAGGCAGTGACAATACAGTGTCACTGAAAAAATAATTTGGCCTTCAGAGCTTTTCACTAGTGAGATGAAGAGTACTAACTGATTCCCATTCCAAGATAAGTTTATTGGATAGGAAGTTCATTAAAAATCAAAAATTAAAAACCTTTTACATGTAATTTGTAATCGGAACACATCTGGTGTGCAATTATTAAGAAACAATAAACCAAAAACTGACAATGCCACTTTTGTGGAATTGCTTTTTAGAAGAGAATGCACTTTAAATAACTTCCTTAGAGCTATTACCATTAGTTTCAATTTATACCTTCCTAATGGGTTACCTAATAATTCTCTGTTCTTGTACTTTAGGCTCTTGTGTTCATCTTTTATTGTGTCGTGGTAGGTGACATAAATGTATTTTGATTTTAAATATTAAAATTGTTGCCTTACACATTTGAATTGTTCCATAGCACCCTATTCTAGCTGGATATAATTTTGTAGCCAGGCTTTAATTTCTTTCACTGTTTGTAATCATTCAGATTATAATGTCGTTGCAACTTTTTTGAAGTGTTTTGGGGAAGCTTTTCTTAACAAGAGGAAACCAATTTTCCTTGCATCAGATATAAAATTCAGAAAGGTCAAAAACTCAATAACTAACCAAAGTATCCATTACCATAATCATTTACTATATATCAGAATATCATCTGAATTGCCTGCAGGCATGGATCTCTGCAGCTCCCAGTACCTGTGATTCTCTGTTCCTAGCCAACCAGAGCCGTGGGAACTGGCAACTAGCATGTGCTTTGGCCCATACCACTTCCTTCACCTTCCATTGGCTGGGAATGGTGAATCACATGTAGAAGTTAGATAACTTCTAAAGAGCCAAATAGTATTAACAATAAAATAGCATCTTTTGCATGTTTCTTTCAGCAAGCCCATTTAACTGCGTATTTTATATGATCACCTTTGTTACAGTCCAAAAACAAAACCTTATCTTTAGAAATCAGTTGAGAAAAACTTCTTAGCAAACTTATGTCACATCACTTGAAAATTCTTAAATGAAAAAGCAACTAGTTAAGGATATCTTTAACTTTACCATGGCTATGTCTAGATATCATATATACTCGTTCATTAACCCATTTGTTTATAAGCCGACCCTCCCTCCCAGGGATGGATAGGAAAAATGGCAAAATACTATGACCCTTTCATGAGCTGGCCCTAGGTTTCATTGGTTGGCATGCATCAATTACCAGCCCATCAGGATAAGCTTCTGGCATGCTGGAACATTGTTTACCTGTTGCGTCTGTAGGCACAGATTTCTGCAACTCCCAATGTCTGTGATTCACCATTCCTGGCCAACAGGAGCATCAGGAAGTTCTTTGGCCCACGCCACTTCCTGCAGCTCCCATTGCCTAGGAATGGCGAACCACTGAGGGCTGAAGGATTTCATGACTAAGGACACTCCAGGTAAATATAATGTCCTGGCCAGCAGCTTATCCTGACAGGCTGGGAGCAGAAATTTGCTCACTCTTGTTGTAGATCACTGCTGATGGAATGTTAATTCTGGACTTGCTGCTTTAAAAAAAAAGTGCTAAAGTTTAA